CTGTTTCTATGATCTACAGAAAAAATTTACTCTACTATTATAAGGACGGAACATAAGGTTATTCGAGCCATATCAAAGAGCATCCTTGATAACCCCAAGATTGGCGCGAACAACTCTATGTTCCGTCCTTATAATAGTAGAGTAAATTTTTTCTGTAGATCATAGAAACAGCGTTTTCTATCAGGCACTGGAAAAATTTACTCTACTATTATAAGGACAAAACATGGCGTTGTTCGGGCCATATGAAAGAGGGTCCCTACAAACCCCATAATCGGCCCGAACAACACTATGTTTTATCCTTATAATAGTGGAGAAAATCTTTCCTGATTCATTATTATACTTAAATTTAAAAGTTAAATATCTCCCTCTAGGCAAGCCAAGGGTCGCTAATATTTTAACCTTGTTAGTTTGGAGGTGAGAGCTTCCATTTGACCCGAATATGTCTAGTCGATTTAACTTACAACACAAACACTTCCATTGTTAGTGAATCACTCACAGCTATTTTGATTGCATGGATTCCTGTTAAACTGTTTACTGTTCAACTGTCATCTATAGGAGAGACAGGTGTTCATCAATCAGTCATTCAGTTTGCAATCATTTTATAAATTTCATTAGGGCACTCGGAATCACTAAAGCTTTTGATTTTCCATAACTTTTGTGGCATCTTTTCTTTGAATGTACTAGCATAATAAATCGCTAAAGCTATTCTGTATAAAAGAATGCAGTTCAGAAAGGTTTATATTGTATACGTATATTCTTTTTCGCGTCTTTTGACTCTCGTCGTACTCAAGTTAGTTTAGAAAACACTGCATTTTCTATTTTCTATTTTCCATTTAACATAAAAAAAATGGATAGACGCAAAAGACACAAGTAGATCTACAAGCCTACGTCTTGATTAACCAATATGACCACAAGTCTAAATGTATACATAGGGTGCGGATGTGTCTCTTGTCATCTGTCATCCACACCGACCCACACCATCCAACTAGAAGTCGTTGCACGAGAACCATGCTCGAATCTAATATAAGTTTCTCAATGATTTCGACCAGTTCTGAGTTGGACGCGGGAAAAGATGGTACTAATAAGTTGGTGTCCATAATTACTAGAGGACCTGTTCCTGATTCCGATGAAATGAAGTACTTTGCATAGACCACAAATTATTCATCGACGTTAATTCCATGACGGATTTTTCATATATTATTAGATGCGTCACACTTCAACGAAACAGAATTTGCAAGAGCTTTTCCGATCGAATGTTTGATTGCTTTTGTATTGTTATTGCAGATAACTACTCTACATAGCGGTAATTGATCACAAAAATTGAGAAAAAAAAATAAAAATACAACCTTGAAATCAGAATCCTCACATTATTTTCCGTGTTACAGAGTTTTCATGAAAACTGACTATTTTTCGTACAGGCTTATCATAGAAGTGCTTGTCCTATCGAATCTGTTTGATCGATTTTGCTGCATGGAAACTGTCGTGAAGGTTTAGCAGTCAAACTAGTGCTCACCATGCTATTTTCCAGTTCTATCGTATCGTTGGATTTCTCTTAAAACGAATAGCTTGTTTTTTTTGCATGTCATTTTCGAGGGTAATGGAAAAGTGGATTATTTGAAAGTCTGATTCCAAAAAGCCCGTTTTTGCTCGTGCATCGACTGCTGGATAATCATTTTGGAGCCCTGATAATTACTCTAATATTAGTGTCAGTAATAGATATCAGAAGTTGGAAGAAGGCAATACGTGTCTGCTGAAGACTAGGGATTCGTAGAAATCTGATTGGATAGTCTTTAATCTGGCAAACATTGTATTCACAAGGAAAACATACTCAAGAAATCAGAAAGAGAGGAATGTAGCGTAGTTGCTGTTCAAATTTCTACGCCATGCTCTACGCTGATCCTCGCAGATGGATATTCGCGTTTGAGACGAATGCTTACATGACACATTTCAAGCTACACACTAAGCTTTCTAATGCGCCGATCAAAGTAATGGAAAGATCGATCTACAGTGCTCGATATTGTTTCTCAGAATATTTTCATGAAAGGTATTGAAAAAATTATTCTGATTCGAACAAGAAACGTATTGCCTTTTCATTTTAGCCGAGATCTTGAGGACATTGAATATGCACTGTTGAATAATTGGTTCCACACACTAACGGCTAATGACGCATGCAAATTTGATTGCTTTAGTATGTTGCGGTGAATTGTCATTCGTTCTGCTGAAAGTTTTGTATTTTCTAGTTTATTTGCAGACATCACCAGACATCTGTCTTCAAAGAATTCAAGACCGTGGCAGAGAAGAAGAGAAAAATATAACTATAGATTATTTGAAGCGTTTGCATGAGCTGTACGAAAAAGGGCTTCTTTCCAATGATAATGACAATATGACAGCATCGGTGATGACCACGCCAACAAAGTTTGCACCGGTGCTAATCGTCGATGGCAATCAAAATCAGGAAAGTGTCTTACAAAAAACGATGACTCATATCAATACTCTTTTCT